CAATTTTAGGGGATAACCTCTTACACTTTATTCTCGTCATAACTTTTATAAAATGTTGTGAACTTAATATACATCCGCTATATGCATGAAAACTATGCATTAATCTTGAAAGCAATGGATGTTATTTAACTGGCTCTGTTACCAGGGGAGAGCGGCATTGTTGATTTCAGATAAACTCGCCTACTTTCCGCGACTGCTTCTCGGAGAGCTTTCCCGCTAAAATGGCGGGGATGAAAGCGGGAGACGGAAAATTAGCTGACTCCTCGTTCGCGAGAGCTTGAAAAGGCGGCAGGCGGCTCTTGACAAGTTAAAGTCGGTACTTGGTTATCCATGACAAGGGGTGCGCGAAAGGCACGAGAGCCCCCCTCTAACAGGAGGGGGGTGCCTTGTGATCTTGTCCTAAACAAGCCTCTCCAAGGTCTCCCCATATTTTGTCATTTCTCAACGCTCGGACCGACTGTTCTCGCGATAGCGCGCAATTCCGCAAGAGCGATCCTCGAGTCAAATGGATCACGATTTTTTTTTTTCGCGCGTGGACATACTCATACCACTGTCTTGCTAAGGAAGAACGCCGTATGAACCTCCAGGCGTTGCCAAATTTCCTCTGATAAAATACGAATTTATTGGGGAAATTGTAAATATTTTTCTCCCGATTTTTCAGACTATTTTGTTCGCAATTCAATCTAAAACAACTGAAGATTTCGGGTAAAATTATGCTTAAATTTCGTCAAAAATACATGTTTTATCCGGGAAATTTGGCAACTCTCGAATGTTCATACGGCGTTCTTCCTCAGCACGGCAGTACTGTCTTGCTAAGGAAATACGTCGTATGGACCTTCGAGAGTTGCCTAATTTCCCGGATAAAACATGTATTTTTACACTGAAAAAGAAGTTACGAGCTATATAGACATACAACGTCCGCGTTCCGGGCTCAGAGGCCTGAAGTAGAGGGTGCTAGAGCCGTAGTTTCGACTACTCCGGGTGGTACAACCGGAATTTTCGGCCTCTGAGCCTGGGACGCGGATAGTATGTCTATACAGCCTGTAAGTGGGGCCTCCACGGCCGGAGTTTTTTTTTTTTTTTCAGTGAAAGGGTAGTCATGCATTTTTTTCCTTAAAATTTTCAGATTGGTGTTCTAGATTGAATTGCAAACAAAATGACCTGAAAAATTTGAATAAAAATATTCAAAATTTTAACAGTAAATTCGTTTCTTTATCGAAAAAAATATGGCAACGTCTGGAGGCTCGCACGGTGTTTATATGAGAAATCTTGATTCAAGAAATCTACATGCTTAATGAAAGGAATTAACGTTTTGAAAATTGCTTGAAGTGATCAAAACTGCACGATCCATGACTGATTTTCCTGATATTTTCCAGGTTTTTCTGACGGTAGACACCGTGATGTTCTACTCCCCACCGAAAAAAGGATACTGTCTTAACATTCTGGATGTAAAAAAGTGTGTGACAACTCACAAAACGCTGAGTTAATCGCCACAGCAGTAACTATAACAATGGAAAGATGTACAGCTAACTGCTGTGGCGGTAAACACAGCGTTTTGTGAGTTGTCGCATACTTTTTTACATCCAAAATGTTAGGTCAGCGTCCTTTTTTTCGATGCCGTGCTAACCGAAAACGTCGGTTAATTTTCCTCACTGTGTAGGCTGCACGCAACAACAGCTCCGTTAAGTTCACGAAAAAATTAAATTGCTGATTTAAAATTTCAATTGCTAAAAATGTGACTGCAACGTTTCAACGTGGATTTTACAACGAGAAAAATGCTACTTTAACCACTATTGTAAGCTAATTTAACCGCGGGGGTGGTTAAAGTAGCATTTTTTTGTTGTAAAATCTACATTGAAACATTGCAGCCACTTTCTTATCAAATGAATTCTTGACTCAGCACTTTAATTTTTTCGGTGTTTATTTTCCTCCTTTTTGAATTTGCGAGGAAAATGGAAAATCCGCGGGGAGGCGGCAGCAGCGTTAGAGGAGAGTAGCCGCCAGTGAACTGACACTCGGAAACCGGGACGTGTGAGCCACTCGAGCAAATGTGAAAATGAAATATTGAAAACCAAATGTATTCAAATTACGGAGCGATATTTTATCAGCTGCTTTGAAAATAAGATTTTCCTAGCGCGATATTATTCGGCCCCCCTCCCTCGNNNCCGCTCCCGTACTCCTCTCGCAAGGCTCCTGAATAGCAGCTCGGCACATTTTACCGGGAAACTCGGTCATGCGAACTTCTTGAGGTCAGTGCGAAGAGCTGGGTGGAAAAATAGCGGGATTGGGTCAATTTTTTTCTCCCCCCCCCCTCCCCATATTTTTAATCTAAATTCCTGAAAAAACAAACACCGGACATGCTAGGAAACGTTTATTAATTGAGTAACGTACTTTTTCGACATTTTAGCCCCCCTCCCCCTCCCACGGAGAAAAAAATAAGGTGGTCGCATTGCGGGGATTTTGGATTTTGTCGATGACGTAGGTCGATACTAGAGTCCCTTTATACTGAGAGTCAAGACAACACCCCTTATGGAGTCACAAACGGGAATAAAGATTACAGAAATTGAACGTTCTTTGTAATCTTTGATCGGCCCATTCTTAAATTCCTTTCTCCGTTCCTTCTCTCATTCCGTTTGTTCCTTGCCGAACCCGTAATTCCCTGGTCCATTCCAGATAATAATCTTTGCAATCGGTGAAAATGTAATCTTTATTCCCGTTTGTGACACTGTGAAGGCCTAAAATACGGGAACCAATCAGAAATGGATTCACATTGTCTTGACTCTCAGTATGAAGGGACTCTAGTCGATACGGAAGGTTTTATCATCGATTTTCTTGGAAATGGTGTCTTTCATGCATGGAAAAAGGTCGCTCTATAATGTGAAGTGTTTGAGATTACATCGTGAGTTGATCTAACCCGATAAACGGACGTTATGGCCCTTTTTCATTTTTGAATTTCGGATTCGACGGCTTATTGTGCCTACCTATTTCACGGGGTAAACAATCCTCAATATGCGACCTGCGACCACTTCCTTTTTCTCTATGCCTCCCCCACCCTCCCTCCTCCCCCTTGTAACGCTTCGTAACGCAACCCCAGGGTCTAGACCCTCCCTTAATAGTTACAACTCGTTTGACGGACTCTTCATTACAATCCTACAAACTATAGGAAACTGTTGATGTCCAAGGATGAAGTCAATGAAGGATTGTAGAACACAGAAGAAAGGAGTTCTAGGAACGTTTTGGGAAACAACCGCCCACTTTTCACCTCTTGTAAATTTCACGTAAAAATACTTTGGAGAAGTTTTCTCTTTTATAAATCCTCACATTTATTTTTACAGATTTGTCTTTTTACAAGTTGCATGTTTTCCCCACAATCGTTGCTTTGAGGGAAAAATGCAAATCGATTTCCATTGTGAATTCTATCGACCAGTCTGAATTTTTCCCGCTTTTACGGAATGACGTCCATACGCTTACATCATTATACATCATTATATCTTTGACAGAATGACGACCATACGCTGATATCATTATATCAGCGTATGGACGTCATTCTGTAAAATCAAGAAGGAAAAAAAAATCAGTCCTGTAATGGGGTTCTAGCACGTGTCAAGGAATTGCGTTTTAAGTCATTCCTCTCATATGAAGCATTTCGCGAGAAACACGCGATATGACCTCTGCTTTTCTCTGAACTCAATTCCCTAGCTCTAAAAAAGTTCTCTAAGTTCAAGCCGTAATGAAGGAGATATTCCACGCAACATCGATAGTGCACCTCTGTATCTATTCGAACTCCTCATGCACAAATAGGGAGCAAATATCAGGACAGAGTAGCAGTGTTGCCGTGGTTCCAACTTTGGAGTCCCCGAACAGAGTGGCATCCATGATAATGTATTTTATCCCTATCTATACATGGAGAGTTTGACTAGATATGAAGATGGACTCCCGAAGCAGCGTGGGATATTCTCTTCACTACGACCTCAACTTTGAGAGCTTTTTTTGAGCGTGGGAATTGATTTTAGAGAGGACCAGAGGCACCATCGTGTTTTTCGCGAAATTTTACAAAAAAGTAGTATATAAATTGCATGTTTCTGACACATGCAAGAACTCTGTTTAATCCTATTGCGCAGTATAAAATAACTAGGGGGCTACGCCCCCTGGCCGCTACGCGGCCCAACCCCCTGAGGGCGCTCCGCGCCATCAATGGGCCGCTTCGCGGCTCTATTTTTACCCTCCTATCAGTGTTAGTTTTATTTTTCCCCTGAAAAATTACGATATGAGGAATACTTTAATTTTAAACTTTACTTAAAATTACTTTAAAATTAAAAGGACGCGTTTTGGAATGACTGCTTTATGAAATATTGCAGTAAAACAATGAACTATGATAGTCAGGTAACAATTAAAGATTTCATGAATCGGGGAACGAACCCACACTGAGATTAAAGTGGACGCATTCGACGTCTTAGACGACTCGGCCACCGCTCGACGTGACGTCGCCGGCGCGAACCTTGTGTAGATAAGTGTAGAGCTGATGCGCAGGCTACACAGCTACTGCGCAACCTCCTCGATCACTGCGCATCCTCCCGCGCACAGCGGTAGCAGTACCGGAGCATTCTGTAAACTCACTCACTTTTATAACGTGATTTTAAAAAAACCTGGGTCCTTTTTCCGAAATCTGATTACAGCGGGCTCATCTAGGGCCTATTACCTGTCGATTTACGCAAGAATCATGGAAATCGGCCCGGTAGAACGCTCAAACGAACTATGACAAAAAGTATAAATTTACATTGTTTAAATGGGAGAATTCGCAACTTTACCACGTAATATAAAAAAACCTGGGCCATATTTTGAAAATCTGAAAAGAGTTGGCTTATCTAGAGACAATTGCCCGTCGATAGCCGCAAAAATCATGAAAATCGGCCTGGTAGAACGCTGGAACTAAGCGTCACCAGTTTCGCAAAATTAGGAGGTCTCGGAGCTTATAGTATAGATAATATCTGCCGAATAGCATGATTGTACCCAGTATTCATTGCAGTATCGCCCCTCCAGAGAAACGGTTACTGACGCCACGTGTGACGTTAGTTACGTTAGTGAATCCATACGTTTCTTCCATCTTGAATCCGCCACTAAAAGTAAGAGAGAAAATTCAAAACCTAGTAAGCGCCATGAGATGTTCCGAAGATGGTACAATTCGTTTTTTTTTTTTTTCTCGCATGAAACAGGCATCAAGAGACATGCATAACACGATTTTTGTCATGAAAATAAGACCAAAATTTGGAGGAAATTCCAAACAACGGGTGTGAAAATTGAATTAATTTACGTCGTTTTATAGTGTGGAACGCCATGCACAAGTTTGGCAACACCTTGGCGCATACAAGGCTTGGAATTCGCACTCTTCAAATGTTGTGGCTTGAACGGCATGCAATGACGGCATGAAAAGTTGACTCCCGTTTAATTTCGACGAATTTTGTTTACCTTTCTCGAAATTATCATTGGAAATTAAAAACGTGTTGGATTTTTCATGTAAAATCACGCGACAGGCGGCCATGAATGATACATGACGTAAGCACAGAAAACGCATAGGCCTTGGATCTCGCATTACCCGGGGCTTCGGAGCCCATCAGCGAATCATTTACTTGCGCCCTGAAAATACGGGTCTGGACGTAATCCCATAAATAGCCCTGACATTCCGGGGGCAACCTGCGAGGCTGAGACCGCGGACCTACAAAGGGGCAAGGAAATGTAAGGTCGGGGGGGGGGGGAGAGGAGGGTTGGGCTGCGGAGGGAGGTCGAGTTAATTCAAAACGAAGGGACCAATTATGCAAACTCAATAAGTCTTACGAAGACCCTCATCGCGAGGCTTCGGTTGCAGGCGCAAAGGATGGTGAGGGAGGAAAAAGTGAGATTTTAGGCGCCATATCTTACTGGAAAAAGTATGATTTCTGTCGAATTCTCGATGAGGTCGAATGATTTATGACTCCAATTAAGGGGCTTGGAGAACAAGTCACATTTCACATAGGTGCAATTTTTGAGAAAAATGAGGATATTAATAAATTTAAGTGAAACCGCAGTTTTAATGCATATTCTGTGAGAAATACACTTCCGAATTCCAATTTTTAAGCATCATTAAGTCAGTTTGAATACATTCATTCATAAGGATCTATGTAATTTCAAAACTTCAAACGCACGTAAATCTTTAAATAGCAAAAACTGCACTTAGACGCCTTCTCCTCCAAGCGCCTCAATTTAACTTTCCGTAACTGCAAGAGCTACACAAGGGAATAAGAGATACTTAACGGAACAGCCCAAATTCATTAGGATAAAATACACGAAATACACAAAAATTTGATTTACAAGGCTAAAAACAGAGTTAAATCACAATAATGACGTTTAGAGCCAATTACATGCCCATTCTCAACAGGAACAATAGTTAAAATTTAATAAAACTAAAACAAGGAAATGAGCGTGCAACTGACCGAGGTAGGAATCAATGCAAACTCTCCTCTGATTTTGGACAGAGTTTGCAATCTCGGATTATCCTACCCCGGTCTGTGTGCTCATTTCTGTGTTTCGATGTTTTAAATTTTAGCTTTTTTTCCAGTTGAAAGTGGGCATGTGATTAGCCCAAGATATCCCAGTCGGTTAATGCTCTGTTTTCAGCCTTGTAAACCAATTTGTTGTGAATTTCCTTTATATTATCGCTATAAAAGGGTTATTGTCGTTTCTCTGGTGAAATCAACTTATATTTCAGTGTTTTCTTACTGGAAAGTTCAAGGATTATTCAATGTATGCCACGGAGTATTGTAAAGAATAGAGTGGTAGCTCTTTATGAAACTAAACTGACATTAATGTGATATGTACGATACCACATTCCTAAAAAAATTATTGGTAAGAAGTCCCTATATACCACAGGTCATATTATCACTCTTCCATTAACTGTCCGGTTACAATCATCGACAAAAATCTTATCACCAAAGTATGTCATCATCATTATTCATGCCTTATTGAGCATCATAATGTAAGCTTTCATCAAGCAACCTTTATGGAGTCAACAAATATTCATTCAGTTACGCCGACCAGTCTCTTAGTAGTGACTTCAAAGGACGATCAAAGTCGATTTTTCAATTGAATTTCTTAAGACAGCAGCAAAAAAAATACGCACATGCCTTCTCATACCACCACTCACAATCAACCTTCGTTAGAAACGTTACTCGGAATGAGCCGAGAGTGGTTCTTTGCATTGGCCTTTTTCATATTAGCCTCTTCGTGTTTGTTCGTAAGTAATTATGAGTATTTTCCCCCTATTGTTCAGAGAATATCGCACATAATTTAATCTAAAGCATCTGAAAATTTAAAAAAAATATATTAATAACTTTCCTCAATAATAATATTTTATCGGGGTAAATCCAACATTTGAATATTGTTCATGAGGCATTTTTCTTAAACGCGGTAGTCATGTTACCAACAGGACCGCGTTAAGCAGGAACGGACCAAGCCACATCAATTGTTGCCAAATTTAATTGGGCAATTGAATGATTTACATGAAAATGGTTGAGCCGATATTAGTGCAAATTTTAGTGCATTTTCAAATTCCTTACGATTTTCAAAGGAATCCGCACAAACGTTCCCTTGTCACAAATTAAATTGTCCAGTTACATTTGGCGAAAGCTGATGCGGCTTAGTTCCTTTCTACTAAACGCTATCCAACTTTCAGAAGCTTCGAATACAGTCCGTGTAAATGTCTTGATAAATTGTCTGCATTGTGACGAGACCTTTTTGGACAAATCAGACAGAAAATCCTCTTAATATTTTACGACAATCCTACGAATTTTCAGACATGGAATAGTCACACAATTAGAAGAATCCATGTGAAATGACGTTCTCCAATCCAAATAGCCTCCAGAGAACGATTAGTACGTGATAATAATTAAACATCCGATTCACTCATATAATCTTAGAAACGAGTATGATTTACTTCCTAAACAGTCTGAGTCGTGGACAACATTTTACAGCCTGTGAGCAGAACATGTTGAAAATTACCCATGATTATGTAAGGGATTTCATAGTATGGACATGCAAATATACACTTATCTTTGTATACACGTTTATTTTTCCAGGCCAAATAACCCTTAAACATGCACTTATAAAATTCTGCCGGAAAAACTGTAGAGCGCGGTCAAATTTGTCTTCTCACAAGGTAGGTACGTCTAACATTCTTCCTTTCATTTTTAATAGATACATTACTCCAGTCTTGAACTTAATAATATTTTTCTCGAAACGCAATTTAGGGGCTGTCCTTGAATCATATCACATTATTTCCCCCAATTTTTGACCTTTTCTCTCCTTCCGATATTCTACTGTTACGCAAACCCGCAGTCCCCTAAAAATTAAGTTACACCGGCTTCGAATCCTCCCTTGTCTTATTTGTGTCTTTAAACGGGTAAAAAAAATGGCATTCATCTGTTTAAAATTGGGCTGAAAAATTAGATTTTAGGTTTAAAAATCTGTGCAAACGGATATATTTGGGCAAAAAAGTTTATCTGCAATGGGTTTCCTAAGTAGACAGAGTATTATTTTGCGCGAATACACCCAAGTAATTTGTATTTAGCAAGTAAAAATGTTACTTGTTTTCTTATGCCATTAATGTGTTTCTTTTTCTCAGGATATTCACTAGAAGTTAAGTGCCAATTAAGAGTTCTATGCTCAGTCGATTCAAGCAAATTTCACAACGGAGAAGTTTTTTAATAAAATTACAAAAGGAAAGGGAACCTCAGAAGAAATTTTCTTCGCAGGAAAACCTTTATTTTGTACTGTAATGACACGCATTAGTGAACTCACTTTCAGGCCCTCTCACCTTTAAGAGATTCTTTGCCTTGAGTCCTTTCAGAAGATCCTTTGGTCACGCCTTTACACGTGCATATTTCTCGGCTTTCATTCATTTAAAAGTATAATCATGATAAAAATAAATTATATGCATGACAAAACATCATGATGCAAACGCTTCAACAACCGTTTGTCGATGTGTAAAAGACTTAGATTGAGAATGCAACTGATGTATGAATTACGTGCTGAACATGCTTGAAAATTGAACATGCTTCCCGTCACCATGACAGAGTTCTTTTTTTACAACCATGGGGAAAAAATGGTAAATTCCCGCGGGAATATGACTGATTGAATCCTCTCCGTCTCATGTCCTTTTCGCTCTCTCGCTTGCAGGCGAGCAATTCTGCCGTAGGAAAAACGCCACATGAACATTCGAGAGTTGCCAAATTGCCTTCGATGAAATGCTCATTTTTGAGAAAAGCTATGAATATTTTTCCTTGAAATTTTCGGGAACTTAGAATGAAATCGCAAACAAAAGTATCTGAAAAAATAGAAGGAAAAATATTTGCACAAATTTCCCCGAGAAATCGTGATTTACTAAAAGAAATTTGGCAACGCCTGAAGGTTCATACGACGTTTTTTGTTAGCACGGCAGAATTGGTCCGTCTGTGACGGTTGAATGGGAGCTCAAGCAATCGTAATTAAGGTTAACACTCGATTAAGACATTAGAATTAAACAAAGACATAAAGACGGAGCGCTCGTATCTAAAAGCACGGGGAAAAAGTGAAGCTAGGTTCGGCGCTGCGCGCTTGTGTGAGTGTGTAAATGAGCGCGGGAATCCATGGCGGCAAACGGAAATTTGATTTGAACTTGTCCTCTTGATTTTTCCTTATTTCTTCTTCGAAACGTGTTTTAAATGCTTAAAACGATTATATTAAGAAAGTTCGGTCTGCGTCCTAATATATTACACCTACTTTTGCTCGGTAACAGGCAGTAATCTCAGATAAAGTTAGTTTTTCTTCTGCTTATGGTGGTTCTGCAGGTTCAAACAGGCCGTTACAGTTCTAGATCTACGTTACTCCCAAATGAAATCAGTCGGTCGACGACGGACCGAAACTAACCTAAAGTTAATAAAATATGAGTGTGTACCTGAATTTGGGCAAAAATCAACCTAGAATACTTTGTTTCCGCAATTTTATTTATTAGTTCCCGCCCTACATTTGAATTCAAACTTGTCCCGATTTCGCCGCCAATCCTCTAGCCAATAGTAGAGGTGATTGAAAAGAAGCTCTAGAAGCTTCATTTTTTGCTTTTAGTGCTCCGTCTTTATGTCTTTGGAATTAAAGCAGCTACTCTCCGCTGAATGATGGATGATGCGCAACTTGTTGAGCATAAGTCGCAAATGAAATTCGCCGAATGATGGCAGACGAATGTCGGGGGTAGTACTCGCATGGCAAGTTTTTGCAAATTAGGTTAGGATAGCTGATTAACTGCTCAACTCGTTTAAACGTCAACCATAGCGTTTTTCTTTTAAAATTTTTTATTGTTTCCGACTGAAAATGACTCAGTGTTGAGTCGAAACGTCTCGGGTTTCATAATTGTGTATTTTCAGCCTTGTTTCCCGTTTTTTTCATCTTTGTTGTTCCACTGTTAAACGTCAACTCAATATGGCGTTTTTCTTTAGCAAGGCAGCACGGCTGTTTCGACTCGGGCAAGAAAATTAAAGATTCACTGAAAAAAAATTCTCGGCATTTTTACCAAGGTCCGTTGGTGCCTTTACCATCTCACTTTTTTTACCAATTATTGGTAATTTTACCAAGACAGACTGGTAAGCTTACCTAAAAACCGGTATTTTTACTGTTTTTTTTTTAGGTAAGAATACCACTTTTATTGGTAATCAATTCCCGGTAACTTTGCCATTTTATCTCGGTAATTCTATCACAGTCGATACAAAATATCGGCGTTTTTACCAAGGGCCAGTAAAATTACCAAGAAATGTCAATAATTTTACCGAGATTCCTCGGTGAAATTACCAATTCCATAAATGGTAATTTTACCAAGAAAAAGCTGGGATCAAATAGAACCCTGAATTCTTGATACTTTTACCCTTTTCTTGGTTAATACACCGAGATTTTTTTTCCAGTGCAATATGGCGTTTTTCTTTAGCAAGGCAGCACGGCTGTTTCGACTCTGGCAAAAAAAATTAAAGATTCCTCTCCACGCCTAAATTTATCGGGCTGTGCTGTCGACAACGCTGTCCGGTTGCTGAAACGGTGATTTCCGGGTATCACTTCTGATTGTCCATGAATCATGGATGAAAGGACGGACTGGCGGGGTCAGGTAATTAGATTTCGGCGAATCATGCTCGCACTTAATTGCACCGTTCAGCGGGGTTCGTTTCGCCTTTTTCCTGCGTTCCCTGAATTATACATGAACTGCCGTCAGCCAATCCACCGCTTTGAATTCTCACTCTATCTGCCGTGCTACGGAAGAGAACCGTAAGTGCGTTTTTGCATGAGCTATGGTTAGCACTTGCTCCAATGTGTCTCGAGGCTCATCCCGGACCTTACTTACGGCTCTCTGTCGTAACACAGCAGATACCTCCACTCAGTCACATAGAGAATTATGGTGGCCATTTTAATCGTAATGAACTGCAGGAAGATGCTCGTCAATTGGTGCTGTGTTTTGTGGCATTAAAAGAGTGGCAGGTTTCCTTGTATTTGGGAATCCCTTGCCTTTTCTAAAGTGCTTCTCGCTCTGGCACAGTTTAAGGAGGCGATCAGAGAAGCAAAATTAAAAGTCGCGATATTATATTTAGTCCTATTTACCTTCTTTTCTTTTTACCGAAAAAACCCATGGTCTCTGACTCTAAATCGTAGGTTTTAGGAAAGTTCTTTTTGTGTTTTATGGTCAAAATTAGAAGGGAGTCATAAATAAAGACGCATCGTCTAAAAGTCGCATCGATTTTCGCCTTCGTCCCGCGATATTTTATTTAGTCCTATTTTCCTTTTTTTCTTTTTACCAAAAAAAAACCATGGTCCCTGACTCTAAATCGTTGCTATTAGGGTAGTTATTATTATTATTATTTTTTTTTTTAACGCTGAAAATTAGAAGAGAGTCATAAATAATGACGCATCTTCTGAGTGTTGCAGCGATTTTCGCCTTCGTCCCGCTCGCGAAGGTTGGCAGGGCGGTCAAGACATCTTCGCAGTTTGACGCGCCTTCAATCCGGCGGAGCTGCAACATGCTTACACCCGTGGTCAAATAGTTGTATGTCACGCCTGCCGTAAACGAACTCAAATATCGATGGTTCCACGCGACAAGGAGCTTATTTACCTCGATTGCACCGTTGCAAACCACAGTTAATGCTTCAATTTCTATCAATATTTTCCAAAAGATACGCACAGACTCTCTGAAAATTTACAATAATTTTAGGAACGATTTAAAGTGAAATCACGGGTTTCATTTCGGTAAAAAGTGAGATTTCATACTTCATGAAATATCAACGATTTTTCAGGGGTTGCGCATGCAACCCGCGATAATTATCACAAAATTCGTCGAGATCGTTCAAAAGTCGAGAATCTTCGATAGTTGACCCACATTTTACCTCGATTGGGAAATTAATATTTTAGTGTTTTTATGCTTTTCACGGCACACTGGGCCATGCAGAAGTTTTAAATTAATTTCGTTATATATTATTCCATAAAGTTTGATGCAATTCTGCACCTTTGTGGGAGACAAATAAAAATATGTGTCGTTCGAGTAGGCGACTATTCGCGCTCCCCAGTAGATTTGTTGCCTACCCGGCGAAATATAGGGCGAACTTGTATTGAACAACATCGACTACAAATTTAAATGAAGGAGTAAATATGTAACTATAGTCCAGGCAAATAAGCCATGAAAGGGGCTATAGCCTGCAAAAATCCCGGGTAGCAATGTTTTCATCGATTCCTATGTAATTTTTGACGCTGAATCCGAATTTCAACTTTGCGCCATTAAATTCGGACCGGAAAGTTGCCAAATTTGGCAAAAATGGCCTAAAATCGGCCTTTTTTATGGATTATGGCCTGTAACTTGCCAAAAATTGATCTGACGATAAAATTAGTTATTTTCAGAAATAAAGCTCGTTAAATTTCCTATATATCAGTTCCTATACATTTTTTTGCTCAGGGCAAAATTAAGCGCGCTGGCGGGCTCCGAACTTTGTAAAATGTGCGAAAATTGCGCATACTGTAATGTGTTGGGTTATCCTTATTATTTACATCAATTCATTTCACTAAGTGTAAATTTTATCATCTGCACTTAATTTGTCCAGAAATTACTCGTCGGACGATTAAAAGAGGAGACATCGGGAAAAAACCGCGAAAAACACAATTT